GTGTATCTCAACATTGAGCGATTAAATTTTAGAAAAATAGCTGTAAAAGCCCAATTTTTTTTATCTAGTTCGTTTATATGGAAGGCTCAATCGCGTTAGCTTTACGGAGCCGATAGTTCATTGTTCTTTGTTTGTAACAAAATTCTCTTAATTCTATGTCTAGTAGGAGTTGGGCCGAATACTCGCGGCTTACTCGAGGTTAGAGAGGTACATTGTCGAAGGATAGAATCAGGGGAGGAGCTTGGGGGTAAGGTTTCGTTGTCTCATCAGAGCGTTGTCGCCAGTATTAACGGTAGTGCGGTTATAGTTTCGTCTGGGGTTCGACCGGATATGGTGACCAGTGGGCGACGATGAGACTCATCGAGACGGGGGACAAGACAAACAAAAACTATTAAAGAGAGACAAAATACATTAAAAGCCCAATTTAAAGAGATACGTTTCTGAATTTTTGATTGCTGAATCATCATACATTTATCAATTATTGGTACAATTTTTGGTTACGGTTGTTAAAAATAAGAGCTATTTGAGAAAAACGCTTTTTTCTTGAAATACCTTAATATCGTAAAATACAATGAACTAAAATTCTTGAAATTTAGCTCATTTTTAGTCATAATAAAGATCATTAATATTTCACGACGTGTGTGATATGCTAAGTTCCTGTAAGTTGCTATATGCGGATGATCTTAAGTTGTACCGTGTGATCAAATCGATCGTGGATTGTTGCGCACTACAAGCTGATATAGAGCGATTGTCATCCTGGTGTCAGATGAATGGAATGCAAGCCAATGCTGCCAAATGTAAAGTGATTACCCTTACCCACTCTCACTCTCCGATTAGTTTTGATTACTATATGAATCAATCGCCGCTGGAAAGGGTTAATAAATCTTGGGCTCATCTTGGACAGCAAACTACGGTTTAACGAGCACATATCCATGATAGTTGCAAAGGCCTAATCCATGCTAGGATTTTTGCGCCGCAATACTGCACAATTCGACGACGTGTACGCCCTGAAAGCGCTGTACTGCTCTATGGTCCGCAGTGTTCTTGAATATGGAGTACAAATTTGGGCTCCATATCATGCTGTCCATGTACTGCGCATCGAGAGAATCCAGAAACAGTTTATAAAGTTTGCATTACGACGTCTGCCTTATTCAAATCCAGATAGGTTACCTCCGTACGAGCATAGATGTGCGCTTATTGGACTGCACACACTAACAAATCGCCGAGTCTTTCTCCAGAGGATGTTCATATTTGACATGATTAGTAATCATATTGACTGCAGTTGTTTACATCAATTTCCACACTCCAGCTCGCCGTCTCCGCAACTATTACTTTCTGTGGACTCCCGGACATCGTACTGCTTACGGTTATAACAATCCTCTCGATAGATGTTGCAGACTGTTTAATGATATGTGTGATGTTTTTGATTTTAATATAAGTAGACCAGTCTTCAAGAATAGGATTAAGTCACTTTAAACAGTATGTATGGCTTAAATTTCAAAGATGGTGGTTAAATAAAAATAAATAATAAATCACTATTTTTTTCTAAAAATCGTCGAATTTTACGTTTTACTGAAATAAATCCAATAAAGTTCAGAAGTATAGCGAAAAATCAATAAATATCTGCTTAACCACTAGGGTGTACGCTCAATTTTGCGATACACTGTATATATTTTAATGTTTGGACACTTCTGGAAAATTGCGTCTTTACTGTGTAACTACTCAGATTTATCGTCCGGCACTTGTTTTTTTTTTTAGTCAGGAGGGGAGCGAGACGCTTCCAAAGAAAGCTTATTTTAGAATCTTTTAAAGAAGCATACTAAAAAAAAAAACACGGGCAAGACAGTAAATCTTAGTAGCAGGGCAGGCAGCGAGTCACTTTTTAGTGACTTGGTCGCTTTTTTCAAGCCAGTCACTAAAAAGTCTCTTTTTTAAGGCCAAGTCACTAAAGTCACTTTTCTTGTAATCAATCACTATTTTCAACTATTTTAGCGTGAATTTATTTCAAGATTGATCATTCTTTGCTTTGTGACGTTTAATCGTCTTTCTCTATATACAGGTTGTCTACTCATTTTTCTAAATAGAATTACATGAGTTTTCCAAATTTTTCCAGTACTTTAACGGATAAATTCCAGGTTTATAATAAAAATCTATTTTTTAAATGCGTTAAAATATGCTTCTTTTTTGTAGATCAAAAACAACAGCAATTAACCCAAACTATTTTAAAGACATGGCAATCAGTTTTAAAGAAACAGCTTTGCGAGAACTTTTAGCATCATTTAGAATCAGTGATATCTTCAAGAAATTCCAGAGAACTTGTTATAAATTTAGATACTTTTAGATAGTTTCATGATATTCAGCGAAGTTCCAATCTGATAGCTTCAGAATTATACCACTAATTTAAGCGAATTTGCAGAGACTTACAAGGAGTTCCGTTAAATAAATATCAGAAAATTTGCCGGATTATTAAACAAATTTAGAGAACTTCAGGTAACCATAGATTAATTCAGGGAAAATTAGTGAGCGTTTATAATGGTTATGATACTTAACCAAAATTGTCGAAACTTCAAGGCAACGTTAGAAACATTGAGGAAATTTTAGGAAGGCCTATAAAGTTAAGCGAAGTTTAAGAATTTTATGTGAAGTATTGTGAGTATCAGTGAGCATAGTTTCTCAAACTACAAAAGAATTTAACAAAGTTTCATAAACTTTGTTAAAATTTGGGAACTTTCAAGTAGTTCGGAAGACCTCAGAATAGTCTATTCTGATTTTCATTGAAATATTTATCAACATTTCAATAAAGCTATCCTCCTAATTCAATTTTCTTTAAGTTTTCCTTGGAAAGACCTTGAAATTCTCCACAATAAGAAACCATCTGGGAAAACTCCCTGAATATTAATTGAATTCATTTCAGATATCCTTCCCTTAGAATTCTACTCACATTGAAAGTCTCATAAGAATTCAGTGACATTTCTCCTCACAAATTCCTTAGATTTCTTCGCATAATTTGTTTGGCAAACCCTCCTGAATTTATTTTCCGAATTCCTTTGAAGATGTTTTGGAGTTATTCTCAGATTTAATTGTAATCCTCCTTTCAGTATTTTCAAAAAGATTCCAAGGACTTATGCTCCGGATTAGTTTTCTTCCACAACTTTATAAAATTATCCTCAGAAGGCCCTTGGAATTTTTCTCTGAAGGAGTTGTGCTCCTCAGAAATTTTCAGAGTTTTCATTAAAATTTAATTTTAAGTCAATTCAGGGTTTCTTCAATTTTTTGTCAAAACTTTCAGGCAACACAAGAAATCTAAAATTCTTCAGAACTACCTTAAAAGCAGATTGCATTTGATGTTTTTCTGAAAAATTCTTTCCCAGAACTTCCTTGAAATAAGGTCCTTAGAAATTGAAGTAAAATTGCACGAGCTTTTAAAACTGTGCATGGATTTTTACTCCAGATTCTTGAAAATTTCTTGAAGTTTTATAGCTTTTAAGTCCAGAACTAGTTCAAATTTAAAATTTCTTTAAAATATGCATGTTTCAAAAAAAGCAGTACACAGTTCAAGCCTCTGTTTTTTAAATATATATGTTACTGAATATTAGTCCAATGTGAATCTATAAAGTTAAAAGCGTGAATGTAAATAACGAGAAACATTAAATGCTTGTATTTTAAAATTCATTCTTTTCTTTAAATATCTTTAGTAAGAAATTTATCAAATTCTCTTCCAGGTATTTTAAGGAAAACTAAAATGTCCTGAGGATTCCCGGTTTTCCAGGTTTTTGCAGTTAGTAGACACCCGGACTACTAATACCGTGGGTTTGGCCATACACTTTCTATTGAATCTTTCATTTTAAAGGTTCATATCGTACATAAGTGTTTATGAGATACTTGGTGAATAAGTCTAAAACATCAAACATTTATTTTCTCTTAGGTCACTTTTTAGTCACTATTTGGTCACTTATTTCTTCAACATGGTCACTAAAATCACTATTTTTGACACCAGTGATCGCTACCAGCCCTGCAGTAGCTACGCAGTAAAGGAGCAATTTCCAAAGGTTTAAAATGAAAAAAAGAATAGTCCAAATCCTGAAAAACATATGTTTAATTTATGGATCCTACCCATATTTTTTAGTGCGCAAACTTGATTTTATATGGATCAATTTCGTTAGTTTAAGGTTCATTGTTGAACGTTGTTTGCGGTGCATTTTTACAATTGTGTTGCAAAATTTTACCCAAAATATGGATCATTAACATTTTTTTTAAGGATTTTCACCGGGCTTTCATGGGTCATTTGGGTGTTTTTTAAAGGTGCGTTTTTAATTTTATTTTTTTTATAGATAATTTTATCAATTCTAAAGGTGCATAGTTCGGTCTGCCATTCTAAACTGGGTCTGGTGCTTTTGGGGGTGGACTCTTATCACAATATGTGATTGAGTTTTGATACAACAGCTAATTATACCCGAAAGCTTATGAATTGTTCGAGTAGGATTATATTTTGATTTCGCTCGATGACGTCACCGTCCGATAAGATAGGTGAATGGTTGGTTCCTACCTACGTTACAAACAAAATGTTTGCCGCATTCTTCCCTACATGTGCCACGCCATCAGGCGACGAACAATGGAAATCAATTTCTTTATGTTGTTTTCCTTACCTGTTTTTCCGTCAACGATAAGCTGCAGGGGGATTAGTGGGCCAATTCCTCGCCTCGGTATCGATGTCATCGTTCGCTCACGAGACTTTAGCTACGCAAAATACGCTAATTGATCGATCGGGGTGGTCATATATTTTTAGCATTAATTTTTCAAACAAACTGATTAAGAGGGCGATAATCTTATTGCCTTATGTAGGGATATTCTCGAGATTGCTGCACATAAATGACTTCGTGACTGCATTGCATACAGGGAGTCCATAAGTTCACTTATCACACTGGCATCAGCACGGTTCATGAACTGGCCCGGCAAGATCCCGACAGCGCTAAAATAAATATGATTCTTTGTGTTTGCAGACAGTTTCCATTTGCCGCCGACAAGGTTCGAGTGGTTCTTTTTCGTGAATGCGACATCAGAGGACGCAAATTGCTGTTTGACTCGAGTGCGGTGGAAAAAATCACCGATGGACCAGCGTCGACGACAGCAACCGCCTTCTGTGGGACTGCAACCTACAAAACTTTACCTCAAACCCAGAAATGTGATCACTGCAAAATATTGTACCAGGTTTGTAATCCACATAGTTTTATGGGTAAAGATCATTGTTATTGATTTTGTTTTCATCTGATCAACAGCATAGTTCTAATCCAAAGAGTGACATCAAATCATTGGCAGAGATGATCTTCGGCTCTGCACCGATCGCCTTTCAGGGAAGTAGTCTGAAGGTTCACTGGCTTAAAACACCGACCGCCATGATGTGCTCTCACGTATTCCCGGCTCCAGTGTTGAAAAATGCCAGTGGAGCTAGCAGTAAGAAAATGTCTGTCTCATCCTTTCTGGGATCGGATCTTGCAGTCGGAGGCCAGAATGGATTCTATCGTGATCGATATCCTTCGGGCAGCGATCTTAGTTCGATAGACACGACGTCACTGCGTTCATTTACGGTTACGTCTTCAACTTCGACACAGCACGATACGTCTCACAATCACCGACACAGACCACCTTTGCCACCAGAGTTCGGTCATTTAGAGCGGTTGACGGATCCTAGGCTTTCCACCAACAGTGGAATGGATTCAGGGTACGGCGGAACTGATCCATGGGCTTTCTCGACGAGTAGCTCACGTCATCCGCTATCGTCTCATAGAAGCAGTCTTGCATCGATCTGCAGTGATTTCGAGTGTATTCGCAGACTAAGCACAGATACCAACATTGATATACCTCAGGCAGCTAGTTTAAGTGATTGCAGTCAGTATGGAAGCTTTAATCGGCGCGTGTCGAAAAATGTGTCTACATCGTTTGAAAATCGTCTCTCATTGGCTGACCACGTCGGCCATGTCGATGAACTGAGCCAAACAGGATCAACTTCCACGACCAGTCAGGTGACTGCGAGTGATGGTTGTGTAGGAGGACGGAATCGTAGGAATAGTGAAACCATGGAATTAAATAAACGAAAAGCCTTCAGTGGTGAGGTGCTTTCAACATCTACAAACTACCAAGGAAAAGCTCCGAATAAGAAAGCACGCCTGGGCATTGCGTTCTGCATTGAATTGGACGATGGAGTACTGCAGGAAATGGAAGCATTCTGCTCGGAACACATGAGCATATTCGAATCAATGCTATGCCGACTGCGAGTAGCAGCCGAAAATGCGTGCCATCGATGGCCACTGTTCCTACAGGTCAGTATCTCCGTTGCGGTGCGTTGAATGATCTATAATCAGAGAATATCCTTCCAGATTATGTTGACAGCGTGGCATTCGACTCAGCAATGGTTGTTGGATTTCTTCACCGCTCCTCGTCTTTCGAATCCAGTATGGACAACTTTGAGCTGCAGCACACATCCAGCACAGGGTAATGCACAAAACAATCAAGCGGCTCTTACCATAGCCAATAGATTCATGCACGATCTCTCCTCGTTGTTATCGCTGGCCGATACCAAGGATACTAAATTGTAAGTACCAACATACAAAACAGTTGTCAATTTATTTGACACTCAATGAATGGTCCTTATCTCTTTCCCCAGATTTATCAGCACTCTGCTGACGGCTGTGCTGACACATCATCTAGGCTGGGTTAGCACCATTGCTTCAATTGGTAGCCCTCCAGAGTCAACCACCGCTGGAACGGGCGATTCCCATCAGGAAAAAGAAAAAATAACCAAAATAACAGCAAACCATCCGTACAATGTTCTGTGGGCTCAGCTGGGAGACCTGTACGGAGCGGTAGGACATCCGGTCAAGTTGACGAAAACGATTATCTGCGGCAGCCCTCAGTTGGACAATACTATCGGCAAGGTTTTGAACGTTTTGTCATACTTTATACGATGCAGCGAAATCAAGAGGACAGTTCATATGGAAGTTTTCGAAGAAGGTAAAGTCAAGGAAGCCTTTGCCGCACAGAAGCTCATCAATAATGCTAGTAGCCACAGTTTCACTAATACCGAGGATCTAAACAGTATCTGTAAATCTTCGAAATTAGCAAGATCTAGCTCCGGAATGGTTCGATCGTCTACGAGGATCAAAGACCTAACGGCAATGGGAAAAGATACAGGAAACGCTGTGGAAGGAGAGCTATCGACATTACTAAAGAAAACAGTGATGAACGACATACCCAACGTCCTAGTGTATCGGGATTCCCGTTTCGTGCAACAGGAGCTGCGGATAGGAAACAAAAGCATGGACACGGAGCTGCTGATGAACGCCAGGCAGAAGCAGTTCTTAGAAATGATCTATCATATCAAAAAGGAGGGAAACGGAAATCCTCAGATAAGGATGACGCTCACCCAACCGGATGAGACTGGACAAGAAGCGATTGAGCTGGACGTAAGCGATACGGGTGATACTGATTCGATCCGATTATCTAGACTCATCACTGAAAACAGTATCGGTGACAAGGAAAATGGCAAAAGATTCCTGTGGGGTTTGGAACGGATAAAAGAAGGCATTACATTTGAACAGCTGAAATACATCGACGGTCTCCGTGGCAATTATGAAATGTTGATGCAAAGCCGACCAAAGGATGAAGTTGTATTCGTTCTTGGTGACAATGAACAGCTGGTCAATATCAAGCACACGCAAAATTCCAGCACAGCAGACAGAGCCAACGAACTGGGAGCGGTTGGTGGCAAAAGGCCTTGTTCGCACAGTAAACTCAGAAAACATTCCGTCATATTTAACTTTGATCAGTATCCCAAAGTGGTTGAAAACTATCTAAAAAGTCAAAACCTAGAACTGACCGAGCATGATTTGCTTGAGAAAAGTATGAAATTATCGCTAAAGTTTCACCCGGAAGCTGATTTGTCCTCATCTACGGATGCCGATGAGGAGGAATGCGACGTTTGTCGCAATACCTCACTGCTATACCTACAAACCCCGACGAATGCCTCGGAGCTGGAGTTCTCCAGTGATCTGACCGATGGAAGCATATATAGCTCTATGCACGAACCGTCCATCAGGGACGAATATAAAATGCATTGTCACGATGACATATCAAACACTTTCTCCTTGGCTACGGTCGAAGAAAATGCCGAGCTAAAAGCCAAGCATCCGGATAGCATACTCAAGCTGGTGGATATTCCCATATCAAAGGCACTGAACGTGGCAAATCTAAACGACGAGAACAACAATGATAAGACTGATAAATTTAGAAAATTACCAAGCAAAGCTGGTTTTATGCCTTCGTTGTTCTCTCGAGTGGCGGATCATTATATTCCGGACATGGTTCTACAGGGTACTACTGCACCGCCTAACAAGTGGGAAAGGGCCCTGAAGAAGGACCTCAGCCTCGCATCTAGATTCGCCTTGATGGAGCAGTATCCCACTGAAAATCTGGCAGTTGTAGGCAACTTGGAGACCCACGATGTCCGACTGATAACATCCAACCAATCATCGCTGGCTCCGAGCAATCCCAACGGCGAACTGGTAGGCATGTCCCAACTTGTCTCCTCTATGCTAGAAACAGTACACGCCATGTGGAGCTCAGGATTATCTGCGTTCCAGTGTATGGCCTTTATAGAGTCCAAACTGCGTGAGTTGTATTTACAGTCAGAATCGATCGCCAGCTTTCTACTAGCTACTGATTTTTGTTCCATTGAATCAATCACCAAGGCCCTGAACATCACTGCCAACGATATGCCCTTACTTTTATCCGTGGCATCAATACATACCCCGGAAGTGACCAAGCGATACGTCCTGCAGTTTCGGTAACATGGCTGTTCTGGAGTCTTGATGAAAGAGACAGTAGCACTTTTGTGATATTAGATTTAGGCTACAAAAAGCAATCAACGCTTCAGGAAGATCTGTTAGTTAGTCAGTTAGTTGTTACGAGGAATGATTTTTTTTTGCTGGAGATGACCAATCTTAGAGTTAGTGGGCGCGTATGAAGCTCTCTTTCTCTTTATCTGTGAGATGTGATTCCAAAATAGCTGAAAATTTAGTTATCCAAATTACCAGGATAGACCATATAATATTTAAAGTGAAAGTATTTTGTAGGCGGCTAAGTGTAACTAAGGACATATTGAATAGTATTTTATCGTATATTGGAGAGCCAGTGAAAGTTAACTAGATAGGTAGGTAGGAATATTACCATGCAAAGAAAATAAAAATCTATATTATGCAGTTTGTTGCTATGACGTTTTGAACTGACATATTTTTTAACATGGATGACAATTTCCTAAATCCACACATCTCAAGGGTTAAGCGAAAAAAAACCTTGTAGAATCAAGTTACACTTGGGGAAGTGGGTCCCGGAAAGTTGTCAGTTGTTAATGCGGAAATTTTATTTTAAAACCAAATTTATCAACTTATGCACTGATTAAGATAAATCATGTTCATTTGAGTCAAACATACGCACTCCTTAACAAATCATTGTTCTAAAACGCCTAGTAGTATACTATCGCTACACTATCAATATGCCGATGTTTCAAAATTTACACGGCCAATGAGAACAACTCAGAGATTCGGTTAGGAAGAATATTAAAAAAACACTATGAAAATTATAATTCTGTATTTATTGATACCAACGAACCATTTATATTAGAGTTGCATGCCTCACCAACTAGCTGAGCTTTCGTCATCCAGACTATAACGTAGTTGCTTAGTTTTCACTGCTTCACTTCTAAAAATCTCACTGCACAAAAATTGCTTGTTCATGTGCGCACGCAGAGAAATGATTTTTAAATTCAAATGGATATATTTTTGGCTCAGGGCCTAATAAAGAAAAATATTTTTGAATCAACAAACCGGTTGTAGAGTCAATAATCTGTTTGTTGATTTTAAAAACCATTTTGTTGATTCAAAAATATGTTTTGTTGAAATAGTGATACAATATGTTTGAATCAATAACAAAATACATTAAGCCCTGAAACAAAAATCCATTTTTCTGCGTGCGGGCAGTTAGTATATCAATGTCATTCGCCTCAATGTCAGTGCCAAAATGACATTGACATCGTAAAGGGACCGCATTTGCTTCTTATATGCGCCAGCTAATCCAGAACTCATTACTTATTTTTAAACAATGCAACAGTTATACAGAAAAGTTGAATCCTGGCTCTGAACCATTTGGTGGATTTTTTTTTAACTTTTGGTTGAAATTTGACATATGGAAAGTTATCGATTGACCCTGCTAGCGTGGTTATTTCTGACAGACAAGAAGCTAAATTTTGACAACCGTGACTGAGTTCTTATCGAAAACCGGTCGATCGACAGCACAGGGATTTTCGAACATAGATAATTACTTTCGAAATGTCACTTTTAACCACGAGTTAAGGCTGTGAACCATTTGCCGAGTTAAATTTAACTCGTAGTTAAAAGTGACATTTCGAAAGTTATTTCTTATGTTCGAAAATCCCCGTGCTGTCGATCGACCGGTTTTCGAGCCACGGTCGTCAAAATTTAACTTCTTGTCTGTCAGAAATAACCACGCTCGGATAGCAGGGTTAATCGATAACTTTCCATCTGTCAAATTTTAACCAAAAGTTAAAATAATCCACCAAATGGTTCAGAGCCTAAATTTAACTCGGCAAATGGTTCACAGCCTTGTGGAATACCTGTATAAAGAGAGAGAGAGAGAAGGATTAGTAATTTCCATTTAATTCCAATAGCTTAATTGCTTATTCTTGACAGATACAACGTGCATACTTCTTCAGTGTCTTGTACTAATACTCGACTGAAGAAAAACATCGCATTTTACCGAATATATATTAACCGAGGTACATTTTCACTTAGGCTCTGAACCATTTGGTGGATTATTTCGAGGATTTTTTAACTTTTGGTTAAAATTTGACAGATGAAAAGTTATCGATTAACCCTGCTATCCGAGCGTGGTTACTTCGGACAGACAAGAAGTAAAATTTTGACAACCTTGGCTAAGTTCTTCTCGAAAACCGGTCGATCAACAGCATAGGGATTTTCGAACATAGAAAATAACTTTCGAAATGTCACTTAAATTTAACTCGGCAAACGGTTCACAGCCTTAGAAGCTAGGTAAACATAAATTTAAATTCCTGTAGAAACAGGTACTCCGCTGTTTACTTGTTGATGTGTCCTAGGTAGTAACTTGAAAAGCCATGTGTGTCCGTTTCCTTGATTGAGTAAAGTTGAATTCCATTGTTTGTTGATCTCGAGGCTCTCTGCAACATCCAATTTCCATGGTGTAGATACGGTTCGTAAAATCGTGATGTCCTCAGTCGATAGTTGGTGGTCCTCTGTGAAGATGTAGTTGCTAAAGTTTTCTTGGTTTGTCCTACGTACAGTTTGTTCCAATGATTACAGCTTATTTTATATACACCTGCTTTACCTAAAACAATAATTGGATCTTTAGTGGATCCTAACAATAATTTCAACTGGTTATGTCTACTGGTGAAAACTAAATCTAATCCGAATTGTTTTCACTGTGGTCTTAGCTTACAAGTAATATCTTGATAAAATGGAACTGACACTCGTTTCAAGGGTTCAGGTGCTGCGATGAGGGTTGTAAATAATCTCCTTTGTAGAATTCTTGTTTTTTTTTTTTATTATCGATGATTGCCTGGATTGCGGTCTCTTTGTATCCGTTGAGTCTCGCTGTTTCGAAGAAGTACTGTAATTCCTTAACCTTTCCTGTATCGTTGAGTGGAAGAGTCTGCATCCGATGAATCATGTGGTTGAATGCGGCCATTTTCTGCTGGAACGAATGATTGGAAGCATAGGGGATAACTCTTTTGGAGCTTGTTGGTTTCCTGTAAAGTTCGTATTCAAGCGAAGAAGATGTTGACGATTCCCTGATGACTAGAAGATCGATAAATGCGAGTTTCCCGTCTTTGTCTACCTCGTGAGTGAATTTGATATCCTTGGGAATTTTGTTGATCTCATATAAAATGTGTGGAAGGGCTTCCCGTTTAACTACGCTGAAGATATCGTCAACAAACCTCCACCAACGGTTTGGTAATAGACCTTTCTCCTTTAGGATTGTCTCCAAGTTGCTCATGAAAAGTTCACACAGGAAGGGGGATAGGGGGTTTCCCATTGGGGCTCCTTTCGTCTGCTGGTAGAAGTTATTTCGGAAAGAGAAGTAGTTCTCTTCCATACAAAGGTGGGGTTAATAGCCAGTCCTCCAAATGGTTGATTGCTTCCTTGACCGGTACGCTGGAAAAAGAGCTGTGACGTCGAAAGATACCATAATCTCGTCCTCGTTGATGTCTCCTGAAGATTGTAGTTGCTGAGCGAACTCCTGGGTGTTACTAACTGATTCCCTCTGGAACTGATTCGGCATACTCTGGAACTCTGTGACTAACCACTTCGCTAGTTTGTAGGTGGGGGAACCAACTGCAGAAACGATCTCTCGCATTTCATTCCCCGGTTTGTGGAGGAAATTACTAATCCTTCTCTCTCTCTCAGAAAAGTTGATTGAGATAACGCCTGTAATTCTTAAGGCCCACGCACATTAGATCCGGATCGGACGCGTTGCGGCAAAGTGACAGCTAAATCTATTGTCTAACTGTCAAATTTACGTCAACGCAACGCAAACGGATCTAATGTGAGTGGCCCTTTACTGCGAATATCAGTGTCGAAAGTTAAATTCAATGCTAGAACAATTTCTTACGTCAACTGACATTGTTGACAGCAAGCAGTCCTCAGTTGATCGAAAGCTCTCGTTTCGTACGGTCGCATTCGTTTCTCATTTTACTTCGCGAGGTACTTATATACCGTTTTTCAAATCGCTTTTTGAGTAGTAAACAGTTATTCCCATCTAACCGGGATTGTTTCGGAGCAGGCCGGAAGGCGTTCCAACGCGTTCTATTCGATTACGTGGAGTGCAATCAAAAGAAGTTTCTAGTGATTGAACCCCAAAAAGAACCATCCGCAAGAGTTATTTCGTTGTGATACAACGGAAAAGACAATCGGCTATTATCAGTGCCCTGTTTGCCGACGAATTAGTGTGTGCTTGTGTAGTTACGAAAAAGACTATTCTACTGTTCGTTCGCATCTTTCTGGGATACTGCTGTTCGTACCTATATTGTCACGGTATCGCTGCTCATTTGTGCATTAGAGCATCTCCACTGCGGGTGTTATAAAGTACCATTCTGGATTTCATCGGGTGAAAACCGTCTCACCATCCTTTCCCGACCATGAAGTCAGGATGGGACCGACCCCCCGATGGGGACCCTGGTGGTGGAGCAAAAGCTGTCCTGTACAGTTCCTGAATGGATGGACCCGGAAAACGTTTATGGCCCACTGACGATTCTACGCTTGAAACCAGTCGCACCAGCTAAACTACCAACCAATCCGGTTGTAGTTAGTATATCCGTGACAGAGTGTTGCGGACGCATTGAGGGTGCCTTCCCTGAATATCGAGGAACTCAATATGCGTTGAAGGTCCGGAAACCAGAGCAGGTAGAACAACTGAAAGCATTGAAGGAATTATATGATCACACTCCGATCTGCATCGATGAGCACCCGATTCATAATTATGCGAAGTGTGTGATTAATAGCCCTGAGGTTGTAGACCTCACTGAAACTGTAGTGAAAGACATCGTGGCATCGCAAGGCATATCATCCGTTCGGAGAATAACCAGGAAAGGCAACGAGGACAATAGGATCAACACACCTATGTTAATCCTATCCGTATATGGTACTGTGATCCCACAATACGTATATCTCGGTTTTCTCCGCGTCCAAACCAGGCCCTACTACCCGGCTCCCATGCAGTGTTATAAATGCTGGGATTTTGGACATACCAAAGTGCGCTGTGTGAAAACCGAAATTTGTGGCACGTGTGCTGGTGACCACGAGGTGGTTCGAGGAATCCACTGCCACCTTCCACCACAATGCCCAAAGTGTGACACCGATAAGCATCCTGTAGCAAGTAAAAAATGTCCAGTTTACGTCGCTGAAAATGAAATAGCTAAACTACGTGTGGACCTGGGTTTAACATACGGTGCTGCTAAGAACTACCTACAGAGAACCAAAAATAATTCGCAGCCCGGCCAAGTTGAAAATACCAGCAAAGCAAATCAGGAAATTTTCAAGAGGTTAGCAGAAATGGAAGAACGTCTTAACAAGAAGGATATACAAATGAAACAACAGAACGACGAATGGAACACAAAATTACAGGATCAACAAGTGGTCACGGACCGGCTCCAACATGACCTCAACATGTACA